AACTTAGCAACGGAATTTGTAATACCGGAATTTTGCTAAGACAGAAAAAGTAAAATAATGATTATTATTTAGGTTATTGCTATGTTATGCTCAGATGGAATCAAATGAATAGTTAGTAGAATTGCTTCTCAATTAGTATTCAAACTCATTATATGTACTTTGTTTTAAATGATTTGATTTTTAAGTAAAATATACGTAATGCAGTCATATTTGTGATCCATTTCAGTGGTCATCTCTTTGAACATACAAGTCGCTACCAAGCGAATATTATTTGGTATTATTTGTACGCTGAATTATTTTAGTACCACATGAAATTCTTGCTGATTTTTGAGTTACGTAAGAAATACGCTTAAATTTTCTAGCATAATTTTTTTCAACTACTAACTTTATATAAACTTTATTTTGCCGAACATTACAAATTTATCTGATAATTAAGTCTTTCACTTGAATAACTTCAATATAAGGAGTATCAACAATATTTAAATAGCATAAAGATGTTATTATATATATAATAACATCTAATAATAATAATAAATAATAATAATAATAATAATAATAACAAATAGTAGATAGTAATAGCATGCAATGGTGATATACATTAATTATATGCAACTAATAATGATTGTTTATGTACAATAATTACTTTTTTATTAACGCTATATTGCAAGTAAATGTTTATTGCGGTAATAATCAAAATTATACGATATGCATTTTTTTAAAATGCTTATTATCGTATGAATAATAGTATTTTTGAAAGATAAATTTGATTAGTTGTAAAATATCACTGTCTCACAGCTAAATGCATATAACTTCAATTAAACATAAGTAACAAAAAGTGTACTACAAAAATGTTTATGGTATTGATAGTAACTTTCTGATTATTTTTGTATTTTCTTTTAGATAGGCATCATTTTCAGTAATGGCAAAAAAATTCAACTTTTTCCATACTTAATGCTAACATTAAGCAAGTAATTACTAGTGTGTTAATGAAATATTATGTATAAAAAGAAAAGAATGGTCATGTTAATCAGATAATATTCACTGATCTGGTCAATCGTAACTTATATTTGATATTTGACTTCTGAATTTTTATATGTCTACCAGTTCAAAAAAAGTAGTCAATGAATTAAAAAGAATATACGGTAATAAGAGAAAATGTAAGAAGTTTTGAATGAGTAAAAAGTTCATATGCAAAATGAATTATTTATCATTTTATGATTTGTTATTGAATGATGCATGACTGGATGGATGTACACTTCTAGCCATTTTAATGTCCTTTGCAAGTTTTGTCAATGAATTATTGCTTGTTAAGTAATGGTTGGTGATGACAAATAAAAAGTGGACAGATGCTTAATCTTAAAACTAAAATCCTATTGAATGCTTATTTTCTATTCATTCTTCTCACTCATTATTCTATTCAATTGTCTACCACAACTTTGTTTACAACCAATGCTAGTTAATTTTCTGAATCCTTACAATCGCTCCTTCCTTACCTACCAGCAGTAATTCTTTGAATCACTCTTTCACTTCTTCTAACACTACTTAATTTCAAATTCTCAATCGTGTATTATCATCATTGCAAAAAATTAAAATTGCATACTTTTTTATAGATACGATTTTTGCGCATATCTATCTACCTACTACTTCCAAGTGTGATCTGATGATACACTTTCATACAATTGAAATTCACTTTCTGATTTTTACACTTATTATTACAATTTTTCGTTTTTGTATAATATTTTCAAGCAATTAAAATCATTGCTTATTTCAAAGATTAAGCACAAAAACTGTTTATGATTAACATTCTTAATTAAGGATTATTTACCATTTTGTAAATAAATTTGCTGAATGTAAATTCTGTAATAAAAGATATCTCATAAAAAAGTTAGCCAATCTTTAAAATTTAGTATTTCCATTCATTGAATTTTATAATCGAATTTTTATATTATTGCTATAAACATTTTTAGATTTTCTTAAATTCTTTTTGTTATTTGTGTTTTTTTTTTATTTACTGCCAAAAATAGCTCAAAACATATTCATGTAATAAATGTAAGCAAAGAAAAAGACTGCAAAACATACTGACCCTACTACAATGATCACAATACTAAATGTCACACAATAAGATACAACTTGCGCTATGCACATAAACACCCTCAAGATCCGCTGAATTGGCTCACTAAGAACAAATTCTTCTTCTTGAACCTCATCAGCTTCACTTTTTTTCTTAGCTCGTCGAGATTTACGTTTACGTCGAGCCATGTTAGTATCTAATAAAAGCTAACTGATGATAGTTCAATACTATAAGAAGTACAATATACCAAGTGGATTACGCGATTTGTCCACATCTTTCTGTCTATGATCATTCAATACAATCTTTTTTTAAGTGATTATTAATCATAATCATGTATTAGAGCATAATTAATTACAATTAAAAATTATAAAAAGTAAAAATAACTTATCCACAACTACATTTAGCATCGACTTTTATTTGTTATTACTAAAAAATTATTTTTATTTGAAAAAAAAAAAAGAAAAATTGTAGAAAAAATTTTTAGCTAATAAGGTTTGTACGTACGATTAATTGAAATAAGAATACTTGGTTGATTTGAAAAAAATAGTGCAGTCAAGAGTAAGTTTAATGAAGTGTGAGGCACATTCGCCAAATCATTCATTTTGCAGGCATTTCTGGGCAATCGAATTAATAATATTTTGAAAATTTAAACTTATCTTTGATTATTTGCTTTTTGTAGACAATGCAGATAGATACTGAAAGATTAATTTGATTTTATTCAGTTTTCTTGCAAAAATAATTTCAAACTTCACTATATTTTTGATTAGTAAGATTAAATTTTGTTATTTTAATTGTTTTTTTTTTTGCTTATTTAGTAAATAAACGCTATGATTAATCAAATTATGATTATCATCAATAACTATTAAACTTCTTTTGTTTCACTCATACTAAATATTCTTAACTTTTTTTGAGAATAAATATCTTGTACTGTTCAAATTTGCATTTATATAAAAGCATTCAATCTGATAAATTATATCAGTTCTTTACTTTACTTCCAAGCTTTTGCTCTTTGGCTTAACTATAATCTCTTAGCTTACTAAAAAAAGTGAATATTAATATGAAAAGTTTTTTCATGAATGAGAGTAGCTCACAAATGTGATACTTTAATCAAGAAAAAGTAGACAAAACTGTTAATCTTCATGATCATATTATCATTCCATTTGATGATTGTACTGAGTGTCCTTAAAGGGCACACATACACACACATACACACATACTAACGCATCTCTAAATCTTCCTTGAAATATTTACTTCAAAAAAAAATTGCTCAAAATAATTTTGAAAACTATTTAAAAATAAGTTTCCATACTAATGAAGTCTTAGCGTTTAAAAAAATGTGAATCTCAAGATTTTCATACTTATTTTTTTACAAGTTTTTTTTTTTCAGTAATAATATACACCATACATATGTAGTATTTAAAACTTTCAACTGCTAAATTATTATTAATAATTCAGCCATTTTATTTTTAATATAACCATAAATTTTTCTACTGATAAAGCATTTTTTATCAATTAAACTACTTTTGTAGTAAATTAGTTTTCTAATTTTGATGATATTAAATTTATGGCATTTAGAAAAATAGCATAATATTTCTTAACTCACGTTAAGTTGAAGCATTTAAGCAGAAATTTTTGTTTGCAGTCGATAAAAATTAGATTTGTATATATTAAATCAAATTACATATAGCAAATTTAATATTAGATTGTCACAAATATTTTTACTTTTCAAAATATTAGTTGAATAATTTTGAGCTTCCAAAGACTTGTACTTTTGCAAATTTGTCTCTCTATAACAATAACTTATAAAACTGAGTCACATTTTTTTTACTCATACATTACTATCATTTATTATTACTTATATATTACTA